AAAACCAAGCAAAAAGATAAAAACCCGAAAAATCAGCAAACTGGAAAACTAGCAGTTACAGGCCATCAGTCGACTGATACCATTCATCAGTCGACTGATGAGTTAACCGTTATAGGCCGCATATGCTATCTGTCGACTGATGAACTCATCAATCGACTGATTACCTGCATCGGTCGACTGATGCCTTATTAGTTGACTGAGCAGAAACTATATGCTATTCCAGCGCGTTTCATCGGTCGACTGATATTATTCATCAGTCGACTGATAACGTGCACAAGGCATATAATGAACAATAAAAATTAATTTCAAACCCCTTTAAAAATAGCAAATAAATTTCAAAAAATATAAAACTTTGAGAAATATTTATAAACATGAAAATGAACATGTTACAAAAAGAATTTTCAAATTACATTTCCTATTTGTGAAAACTCATCATTTTGCAAAATCTCAAAAATAAATGTTCATTTAAATTCATGATTTTGACACTATGACTTAAACTAAATTTTGAAATCTTTTGAATGGATTTATAGACATTGACAAAAGATGTAAAATAATATATTCTAGTCTTTAACCCATAAACACGTTATTTTTCCAAAATGTGATAAGTATGAAACATATGAATATGTATGAATATATCTTATTTACTTCATATTTATATGGCTAAACAAAAAACAACTTATCCACATAAATAGATGTATATAAAACAAATGTGTATGTATATAAATATATCTATTTGTTTGCAAAAACTTGTGGTTGTGGATAAATCAAAAAACGATAAAATGAGAAAAAGTGTGTGTATGGTTTGAGCTTTAAATATTAACACACATAATATAAATACCTAAACTAATATACTCAAGCTAAATGATCTCATGATGCTTGATCTTGGGCAATCCTCCTCTTCATAATGGATGAAGCAATATTGGATCTTTACTTGAATTGCATCGTGCTCCATTCCAAATTCCTTCCATCCTCCAATGAATATCGTCGTTAAGCGCAAGTCTATCCAACCTCCAACAACGATGTTTGTCTAGAATACCTAATAAATAAATACAAACACAAGACAAACGATATTAGTGATTGTTTATAAATCATCAAAACAAGATTAGACCGTAAGCTCATAAACATGAGACCTAACAAAGTGTGGCCAATGAACAAAATTTAGTAAGTAAATAAACCAAAAGTACTTAATCATGGTATTTAACCACGTGCATTGCATATGCATAAAATCTAGTGAATCTAAAAATCAAAGTTTTTTTTAAAATTTCTTTTTACCAAGTACATTTCCCTCATCTCTTGATTTAAATTAATTTTTAATAAAGCATGAATTTGTAGTTTTTAAATTTAAATTATTTATAAAAAAATCTAATATTTGATTTAAAAATAAAATAACATGTATAAATAAATGAGTAAGAAAGAGACGTGATATGATTTTATGGTGTGGTTTGAAGAGGATAAAGAAATAAAACATGAAAAATGAAAATAAAAATAAAAATAATAAATATGATAGTTCTAGCTTTTTACCACCTAGCTCTAGGCTAAAAAGTGGGATAATTTAAGAGACTAGAACTCACTCTCTTTACTATACACTATTAATTCTAATTTTTATCTAGTTCTAGTTGATTAATACTGTATAATTTTATCACATTTCTAGTTTTATTTGACTAACGCTATAAAAATTTATTCCATAAAGTATTCTAGTTCTACTCTGTAATTATTCTTAACTACCCCCCACCCCTTCCCCACCCCTTAGGGGGGTTATTAGTTGAGAATTGTTGATTAGGACTAGGACTTTTTCTGGGATTTAACTTTATGGTGTTATAGACTTTTAGACAAGGATTTGGATTTAACTTTATTATGTTATTAGATTTAGTTCTAGGATTCAGATTTAACTTTATGATGTTATTGATTGTCTAGAATAATGATTAAGACTCAAATTTCAAAATCCAAATCCCAATCCAACTCTATATGATTTTTTTTACAAAAAGGTCCAAATTAAAATTGAAGGATTGTGCTCTCCCACCTTAGGTTTTCTCTCTCCCCTTCCTTTAAATGAGTCCAAATTAAAAAATAGCACTATTGACTAATATTTACTAGACTTTTCTAGTTAATTTTAAATATTATTTACTTATTTAATAAATATTAAATATATTCAATTTTAAATGTTTTAGTTTAAGTATTTAAATAAATTTAAAATATTTAAATTTAAATATTTAAATAAATTTGATAATTAATATTATTTGTAATTTTAATATTTAATATTGTTTAATCATTTGATATATTTAATACAATATATTTATTTAAATATTAAAATACCATTATTTAGCATTCCTAAAAATTTATTTAAATACTTCTTATCAATATTATATATATATATATTATATATATATATATATATATATATATATATATATATATATATAAATATATATATATATATATATATATATAGATATGAGGTGTGCTGGAGAAGAGCTAGCCAGCTCACGGCCCGTGAGCTGACAGCTCTATGACATGTGAGTCCCCTACTAGATGTGATTAGTAGGGGGCTCACATGTCATAGAGTTGTCAGCCTCACGGACCGTGAGTTGGCAGCCTTCTCCATTTTTTTTGTATATATATATATATATATATATATATATATATAGAAAACTATAGGAGCGCTGGCCAGTTCTCGTTCTCGTGCGCTAGCTGGGTTTTTTTGAAAAAACAACGCTGTTCTCAAGGAAAAAAATCAAAACCGCTGGCCATTTAATCTCTCTCACCCCAAAAAGAAACCAGCTTCCCCCAATTCTCAGATCCCTCTTCCTCCTAACGTCGATCTCTCTCATATCCCCGACCACGAAGCACTCGATCACGAACAGCATCGCCATGAGAACTCGATCGCCACCAACAAGAGAAGCCTCGCTCGAGATCGACGTCCCCTCTCAGATCTTCCTCCCAACTCGATCGCGCACAGCACCGCCACGAGATCGACGTCCGGCGCTCATGACCCCAGACCGAGCAACGCACATCCCATTCTCCATCGCTCGTGACCCCAGACCGAGCGAAACACCACCTCCTCCATTTCCCTCTCAGAGGTATTATCCCGCCTCCCCCATTTCCCTCTCCAAAATCCTAGCTCTCTTCTTCCTAAATCCACAAATTTTGGGTCAAATCTTAGTCCTAAGATGGTGAATGGCTAGGATTTTTGCTATAACTTCAGTTTGGAAGATGATTTGAATGTGGAAGAGTTCGTTTTGGAAGATGGGGAAGTCTTCACTAGATATTTTGTCCAGTTTAGTTCCAAGTCTTTCTCCTAAAACACTGAATCAGGAAAATGCAATAGGTTGCCCAAAATTTCTAATTTTTTAGGCTGCCTTTATCCAAGTTGTCATAGGTATCTAAAAGGGAACGGTTGAGTTCTTAGGGATTTGGTGTTGAGCTTGGATTATATTGCGACGAAATCGATTTCAACTTCTTACTTGCTGGTTTCTTTATTGCTTGTTGTTGCTTGTTGTTTCTTGTTGTTTGCTGATTTCAGCTTCCAAGTTGTCGATCAGTCAATGAATTATTCTATAGCTTATAGTTTAGTTCTTGCATATATGTTACATTTATGCGTCGCTGCAACCAGTTCATATACATTATCGCATCTCAGTGACTGACCTACTTAATAATATGTCAGAATGCAGCATGACTCACTGATGGTCAAAGTTGTCAAACAATTTAAACTGAAATGAGAGTTAATGTATTGTCAAACAATTTAAACAAAGCCCTTGATTAGTTTAAACTGAAGTATTTATTTGGGTATTTTATATTGTTTCTTGATGAATCCATGCTGTGTTATTACGCTTATGGCTTTTTTTTAGTTTTTTCTTCTTTGCATTTGTTTTACAGCAAAAAAGATGTTTGAAATGGGAGAATCAAGTGCTAGTGGAATTGAAATTTCTGCCAGTTAGAAAATGCTCCTAAGCCACTACTCGGAATGAAATTTAATACTTATGAAGAAGCTTATAACTATTATAACCATTACGCATTGTTGATGGGTTTTGGAATAAGGAAGAGCACGGTAAATTACTCGAAGAAGACAAGAGACGTGCTGGACAGAAAGTTTGTTTGTGATAAGAAGGGATATAGATCTAATAGAGACAAGATGGAGATGCCTTTTCGGCGAGAGACCCGAGTAGGATGTAAGGCAATGATGAGAGTTAAAATATTGGAGGACAAATCGTGGGAGGTCACGGGGTTTGTTGAAGAACATACAAATCATGTGTTGAGTAGTCTAGACAAAGCAAAGATGATTCCATAAATCTCAAAGTTGTAAAAGACTTATTGAGAGTCTGCAAGAAGAAGGTATGCCTCCATCCACTATTTCTCGCGTCATTAACGCAACCACTGGAAGAGAAGGCGAATTAGTGACACCACAACAGTGTATTGATCACATCAGATACCAGAGAGTCAACAATATTGGCCATGAATGCATATCTATCATAAAACATTTTCAGAGTATGACAGCGAATGATCCAGAATTCTATTTTGCAATAGAAGTGGACAGTAGTGGACAAATAAGGAGTGTTTTCTGGGCTGACGGAAGATCAAGAGCGTCTTATTTGCAATTCAGTGATGTTGTTGTGTTTGATATGACATACAGAACTAATAAGTTCAGTCTTTCATTTGCTCCATTTACTGGTGTGAATCATCATAGACAGTCCACTTTACTTGGTTATGCATTATTAGCTGATGAACAAGAAGATACCTTTGTGTGGTTATTTGAAGAATGGCTGAAATGCATGCATGAGGTTGAACCAGGTGCTATTATAACAGATCAGGATAGAGCCATGTGTAATGCTATTCACTCTGTGTTTCCACTGACAAGACATCGTTATTGCTTTTGGCACATGCAAAAGCACATTATTGATCATTTGCCTACTTTGGTTTCTCGTTATGGTGAACAGTTTCAAATGTATTGGGGCTTATAGTGTAATAGTTCTTCAATTGAACAGTGTGAAGGATATTAGCTAGAGATGAAGGAGAAGTTTGATATAAATGAAGAAGGGGATGGATGGTTGCAAACTGTTTACAAATATCGAGAACATTGGGTGTCATGTTATTTGAAGGACACTTTTTTTGCTGGAATGAGATCGAGCCAAAGAAGTGAAAGTATTAATGCATTTTTTGATGGGTATGTTAACTCACAGACTCAATTACACGAGTTTGTTATACAATATGAAAAGCATTAACTCATTGTCACTTAAGTGAAGCACATGAAGATTATAAGAGTCTTAACACAAAGCCTGTCATACTCCTTGGACATCCGATTGAGGTACAAGTTGGAGAAATGTATACACGCAATATGTTTGATGTGTTCCAAACTGAATTCAAAGGATTTGGTATAGAGTTTTGTGAAGAATTGAGAAAAGATGGGGACATTGTTGAATACAAGATTTGTAAGTTTGCAGATAGAGGAAAATGGGAGGTGGTTACTTATGAACAATCCAGTAAGATGCAATTCATTTGTACTTGTGCTTTGTTTGAAACTAATGATGTTGTATGTAGACATATATTATCACTAATGATGGCTAGACAAATTTCTTCATTACCCGATCATTACATCCTACACCGTTGGACTATACATGCTCGACATCGAACATTGGGGTTGGCAATATTGTATTTGGAAGAAACCTCACAAGCTGTGAAGAGAAGATTAATTTGTTGAAATCTTGGGCTTTAAGAGCAAAATTCAATAATGCGCTCGAGCTTGCATTTGATTCAGAAGAGAGGATGCAGAAATTAGATAATGTGTTAACAAAATTCATAGAATCACTTGAAGAAGAAGTTAGAGAAATAGAAGATAATCCTCAGATTTCAGCACCCATTTCATATACAATGGAGCACATTTCTCAGATTACAGTTCGTGATCCTAAAAAATCTGCAAGGACTAAAGGTCGGCCACGCAATGTTACTAGAATTCAGTCAGGCTTAGAACTTGCACAAGAAAAAAGAGAGAGGAAGAAGCGTATATGTAGCAGATGTTCTAATTTCTTATTTGTTTAGTTTTTTTGTGAATTTCTTATTTGTTTAGTTTTTTCAAATATAGAATTGGCCTATATCATTTTTTGCAGTTGTTCTAATTTCAAACTTGCACTCGCTAATTTCAAATATAGTACATGCTTCCATTTATTGCTCTCTTGTGTTATGATTAAGCTCAAAATAAGACCAGTCTAACCTACTGTCTTGATAGCATATAGATTTCCTATTTTGAACTTGCCCTTTGACAGTCATAATAGCATATTGAGTTAGTTATCCTACTGTCTTGACGTTCTATTTTCTTTTTTGTAGGTAAGAGCAATCATCGATATCTGCAAGCTGGGTAGATTGCAAGCTGGGTATGAAGTGCATTTTGTTTGTTGAGCACTTTGATTATGCTTCCAAATGTTGATTTCGGTTTTGAATACAGATGGGGGGAATGCTGGCCCTAAGTATTAAAGCAATTCCAATGGGTTGGTTGTATTTGATAAGCTCAGAATGTATCATTTCAGAATGTATCATTATATAGACCAATTGCTTCACTTGTGAGAACAAGTGCCCCAGTTAGTGCACTGGCTGCTCATTTCCTTGTTCTATGTTGATTGAGACAAATACTGAATGGTGTTGTGTAATGAATTTAGAACTTGCTCAAGATACATGTTTATTCATATGAGTTATTGGATAAGTAAATTTGAATTAGGATTTTATTTGGTGCATCAGCAAGCAATTTACATGTCTTTACACAGGGGCGTCGTGCTTTATTTTCTGGGCTTTGAAGCATATGAGCTAAAGCTGCATAGCTACATTCCATAGTAATAAAAATTTGCGAAGAGCTAAAGCTGCATATGGCGAATAAAATCATCCATCCAGGAACTGTTACATGCTGGAACTTTGCGAAGAGCCAAAGCTGCTGCCTAGTAACAAATTTTGAAAAAATATTAAACATTTTTATATGAATAATGAGTACAAGCACAGGAAGCCTACAGCTAGTTACTTGATTGTTTACAACTTTGCATTATATACCACAGCAGCAAACAAATTGAGCCTCCTCCTGACATCCTTCATTATATAACTACCATTTTTCTACACTATGTATATAACCAGATAAAACATTTCAATTTCCCTTTAGTATTTTTCTCCGTCTTTGGTGAATGAGAGATTACTTTTGGTATACCATGTAATGTAACCACACGAGTAATTTTTCTACACTACGTATATAATCAGAAAATCAAACAAAAGGTCAAATTTTAGTACAAACTGCGCACAAATCATGATACAAACTGACCACAAAAACTCACAAATTTAAGTACAAAATGACCCAAGTTGTGCAAGCTTATCCTCACATTGAAGAATCATACACGAATAACATCACATGTTTCCCCTAATAGATAAACCAACAAATACTGCAACGATACATATTAGAAATATTAAAATTGTAAACACTGAACCTAATACAAAAGCAAAGATGTACTTAATAGCAGTTTCCCTAGGTGTTCCCTTGTCCTCAAGAAGATTATGCCCCTCTGGAAACATTTGTTCTTGAACACAAACATGTGGCTGCACATGCCTTGAGCTGGATGATGAATCACGCGCGCTTAAGTGCTTCTCCCATTCACTCAAAGCCTCTTCATACGTTGCATACCCTTTGTAGGAGGTATTTGGGAATCTATCAACTTGAGAAAAGCATTCCTCCCAATTATAAAAAATATCACAACGTCGACCTCTCTTTACAACATAAAAACTCTTTCTTGCCATTATATCACCTGCAAATTTGTGCCTTGAAAATAGATTATCAATGGAAAAAGACAAGCAAATGTTCAAGATGCAGTTCTATGTATAGTGTAGCATTATCTGAAATTTATATACCAAGGCCAGATAAGAAAACAAAGGAATGTCGATAAGAAAACAAATGAATGTATTCACTACAATTGACACATAAATTGACACTCTTTGTCATACTCTGAAAATATTGAGAATGAAGCATATGTATGACGGGTGTTTGCGCGAGCGGGTTTGATTGCAAGACCCAAACAGGGCTAGACCCCAATAATCCACATACTATAATTTTTTTTTACAATAACATACTACACAATCAGGGCTAGACCCAAACATTCTTCACCTCTTGTAGTATATTAACATCAAGCAAATTCTCAAACTTTAGTTGATTGAGTAGCATTTCAATGCTAAAACTTTAAAGCTAACGTTCATTATAATTCTCAAAATTTTTGTTTTCTTATTGTTATCTTTTAACCATTGAATCAGATGGTGACAATGTTTGGAATGTCTGAGATTGGCCCGTGGGCATTGATGGATCCAGTCGTACAAAGCAGTGATGTAGTGATGAGAATGCTTGCAAGAAACTCAATGTCCGAGAAGCTTGGACATTGACAAGTCAGTCAAAGCAATCATTGACAAGGCTTATGAAATTGTAAAGACTCACAATCAGGATTTAGTGCACAACAGAAATTGTAAAGACTCACATCAAGATCTCGTGGCGGTGCGGTGTTTCGCTCGGTCTGGGGTCACGAGCGAAATTGTAAAGACTCACATCAAGATCTCGTGGCGGTGCGGTGTTTCGCTCGGTCTGGGGTCACGAGCGACAGAGAATGGGATAGTGGTGGTGGCTGTGCGCTGCTCGGTCTAGGGTAACGAGCACCGGAGAAGACAACTCAAATACTAAACCAGCAAGTAAGAAGCTGAAATCGACAAACAACAAGCAACAACAAGCAACCATCAAGCTCAAATACTAAACTAGCAAGCAACCAACAATCCCCTAGAAGCAATCAAGCAAGCAACAACCAGGAATCTGATTTCACCCAACGAACAGAATCCCTAAAAATCAATTTCACCCAAAACGAACACTTCCACGATCACCGAACGAACAGAAGCCCTAAAATCAATTTCACCCAAAACGAACTCTTCCACATTCAAATCATCTTCCAAACTGAAGTTATAGCAAAAATCCTAGCCATTCACCATCTTAGGACTAAGATTTGACCCAAAATTTGTGGATTTAGGAAGAAGAGAGCTAGGATTTTGGAGAGGGAAATGGGGGAGGCGGGATGATACCTCTGAGAGGGAAATGGAGGAGGTGGTGTTTCGCTCGGTCTGGGTCACGAGCGACGGAGAATGGGCTGTGCGCTGCTCGGTCTGGGGTCACGAGCGCCGGACGTCGATCTCGTGGCGGTGCTGTGCGTGATCGAGTTGGGAGGAAGATCTGAGAGGGGACGTCGATCTCGAGCGAGGCTTCTCTTGTTGGTGGCGATCGAGTTCTCGTGGCGGTGCTGTGCGCGATCGAGTTGGGAGGAAGATCTGAGAGGGGACGTCGATCTCGAACGAGGCTTCTCTTGTTGGTGGCAATCGAGTTCTCATGGCGGTGTTGTTCGCGATCGAGCGCTTCGTGGTCGGGGATATGAGAGAGATCGACTTTGGGAGGAAGAGGGATCTGAGAATTAGGGGAAGCTGGTTTCTTTTTGGGGTGAGAGAGATTAAATGGCTA